TCTGTCTCCTTCAAAAAAAAAAACTAAACTAACAAAAAACAGAGGGAAAAGAAGCAAATACTGTTGAATGATGATGCACAAAAGGGATTGTAATGATTGCAATGAAATGATGAGTATAAAACCGATATTCTCCCATGTAAACCATCAATCAATTCACAATAAAAACTTGAAAAATAAATAAGTAAATAAACAGTTTTTAAAACGTGGCTTCTTTGCTTTCTAAAACATCAAGAGGTCTTGTGCAGCAGATTTGCCTAATATGATATGTTGTTTGATTTCTTGAGTGCTGCTTCCATGAGTGTTGATAGTGGATCCAAGCAAAATTAAGTCTTTGAAAACTTTAGTCTTTTCTCAGTTTATCATGGTATTATTTATTGGTCTAGTTATGAGGATTTTTGTTTTCTTTATATTGAGTTGCAATTCATACTGTTTTGATATTTATCAGTATTTCACTTTGAGGTTGTGTTATCTACATATCAACCTTGTTAGGATTTAGCTAATAGCTGAGAGAACTTCTTAGCATATAACTTAACCTTTTTGACTGTTTGTCTAAATACAGTAATCTGTTGATATCCAAATGCCATTCTCTTAGAGGTCTACTTCGAAACCTAAAGGTAAGCTTTAGGGAATTCTGATTCTGAGTGTAAAACCATGTGCCAAATCAAACTGAAGTTTGAAATGTACTGACAATTAAGCAAATATTGTGTCCTTGTTTCAGTGGAAGCCTGTAATGTTTGTGGCAAGCAGTGTTTTCATTCTGGTCCTTTCCTGAGTACAATGTTACTAACTGACTTATTTTTGACATCTGGCCAATATGTCCTATTTAGTTTTGCATTATATTGTTGTTAAGTGCCATCGATTCAGATCTGACTCATAGCAACCCTATATAGGGTTTCTTAGAACCAGCTGGTGAGTTTGAACCGCTTACCTTTTGGTTCAAACTGACCTTGCATTATCCTGCAGTGCCACACCAGGACAACTTTTTACATGACACTGTTGTTAGGTGCCATTGAATTGGTACAGACAATGAAACACTGCCCATTCCTGGGCCTACCGCACAGTCGTTGTTATGTTTTCAGCCCATTGATGCTGCCACTTTGCCAGTCCATCTCATTGGGGTCTTCTTCTTTTCTCCAACCCTCCACTTTACCAAACATGATATCCTTCTCCAGTGACTGGTCCTTCCTGGCAATATATCTGAAGCATGAGAGATGAAGTCTGGCCATCTTGGCTTCCAAGGCTGTACTTCTTCCAGTGCAGATCTATTTGTTCTTTTGGCAGTCCATTATAATTTCAATATTCTCCTCCAACACTGTAATTCAAATGCATCAATTCTTCTTCAGTCTCCCTTTTCATTTCACATGCATATGAAGTTATTGAAAATACATTGGCTTGGGTCAGGTGTACCTTAATCCTCAAACTGACATCTTTGCTTTTCAACACTTTAGAGAGGTCTTGTGCAGTAGATTTGCCTAATACAATACATCCTTTGATTTCTTGAACTGCTGCTTCCATGAATGTTGACTGTTGATCCAAGAAAAATGGAGTCTTTGACAACTTGAATCTTTTCTCCATTTATAAAGATGTTATTAATTGGTCCAGTGGTGAGGATTTTTGTTTTCTTTACATTGAGGTACAACCCATACCAAAGGCTGTGATCTTTGATCTTCATCAGTAAGTATTTAAAGTCCTTTTCACTGCTGTCAGCCAAGCTCCATCTGCCATCAACAATGATATCCCTTGTTCCACATCCTCTTCTGAATCCAGCGTGAACCTCTGGAAGTTCTCTGTCA